GTTCTGCCTAAAATGCATACACACTTCAAGAAAAGAAAAAAGTCTGTTTTTTTTTTTTTCAGCAGATGGTGTTACCCTTGTAGGGGGAGCAAAGCCTCCTGCAGTAAGTCTGTAGTCCCTACCTTCCCAGTATGAGACTCAAGGTTGAAGAAAAACTTAAAACAGAGTTAGAAACAGTGTGAACTGGGACAGCCAATGCTCTTTTGGCAAAAGGCACTGGCCCTTCTCTTCCTCTGAACTGTATTATTCATCAATCAGGGTAAAGGTACATGTACGGATGTGCAGCATGTGAAATTACCATGGAAACCAATGCAGGCACAGCTTTAAAGAGAAGTCACAATATTTTAAAATTAGAAGCAAGAGAGACAAAATATATGGTTGTAATTAGAGCACTGTCCTTCAAGCTGTGAAGGCAGTAATTGTGGGAATGGAATTTGGGTGCGGTTATTCCAAGCTATGGATATTATCTCATATGGGTCCCACAGCCTCACAGGCCATTACTCTGGTCTTGGCCGTGGCTGTTACTGGGAGGTCATGCTAACCTGTGTGCTACCACAGTGCCCGTGAGATACTCCTGTGAGTCACATAGTTTCAGTCAGACTCGATTCTTAAAGTGAGCCAGTCGAGGGATTTAACTCTTTGCAACCTGCATTGCTTACAGCATGTTTGGGGCATAATCAATACTGCAGGCTCTGGCATGTGGGGACCCTAGAGGATGTTGTATATCCCCCAAAATCCACTGTATTTCTAGCCCTTAGGGAAAAAAATTGAAAACGCATGTGCAGCAACCTCAATGACCAAGGTTACCCATGCAGCAGTAGGCTGTACTAATAAGTGTCTGGAAGCTAACAGTCATGAGCTGAGCCTGAACTTCAACCCACTGCTATGTCTGGCCTATGACCTCATTCTTGGGGTTACACTAGATTTCATCTGATTCTATCCTGGGTAGATATTTCATTTGAAATGGGCTAAGTGGATTTTTCCTTGGAACTTTTAATCAGACAAGAGTGATTCTAGAAAGTTTTTGTTAAATTATTGCATTAACATAAAAGAGGGAATAATCTGGGAAGGCTTTTTAATTTCTATTTTGTATTCAGAGATGGAAAGTCATCTCTAGAAAGGGAATCTTGAAGGAAGAAGATATAGGGAGGAAGTAGAAGAGAGGGAGGGGGGAAGAGAGAAAAGGAAAACAAAGCACCCCAAGGTCCAGTGTGTGGAAAACGTTCAGATATGGGAATTCTGGACATTTTATTTACCCATTATTCACATGGCAAATGTCTCCTTCAGGAATATATGCTTGGACTCATCAGACTGACAAAATTTAAGAGGAAGCTAAAATTCAGTATTGTGAGGATGCTAGAAATGGTATGTCTTATATCCTTCTGGTGAAAATAATGAATTGCTTTTGAATATCTAGACAAATTAATTAGCTATTTAAAACCTTTACAAAAATATTCCCACATTTAAAGTTCTAGTAAATTTCAGATTTCCTTCATCAAAAATTACATGCTATTTCATAATTTTATAAAGATTTAAGCTGAAACTTAAAATATGCTCTAAGCAGCATATTTTATTTCACTCAGCCCAAAAATGGATGTGTAAATTTGAGTTGCTAGAACTACATTTTTTAACAGATTACTAAGTTTAGTTTAAAAATGGGCAAGAGGAAAATGCTAAGGTCAGTTGTTTATGATCAAGTCTCTGATCTGTTTTTTTTTTTT